AACAGAAAGCAAGATGATGACGAGGGTCAGAACTTAAAAGCAACTGTGCCACTTCTGCAACATCCCTCGGAGGCCACGTATTTCCACGAAACATGAAAATAAAACTAAAAACGGCATACTTAGTTTAATACAAGCAAGACGCAATTTCCTGATGCGAATAAAATTTAAGGTGTTGCTCATGCTTCAAAATCCATGTACAAGGAGATGAAGATGACACAGGCTAGAAATGAAGCACAACGATGTAAATGTAAACAAAACAAAAATGAAAAAATCAAGGAAAGGCAAATTAGATAAACTGGCCTGTAAATTTCTACGATCCGGCGCCAAAGCCATAGAAATACTTAGAACAAACGAGTGGGACGCTTGGGCTGTTTTTATTTTTCATGTTTTGTGGGAATGCGCGGCCCTTGATGGATACTGCAGATGCAGCCGAGTTGCTCTTGAGTTCTGCCCCTTGTCATCATCTTCTGCTCTTATTTTGTAGCACCCTCCAATGTTATCCGCATCAATAAATTGCGTTTTCCTTGTATTTGAGAGCGCAATTAAAGGACTTGGCAAAGTGCCAAGGAGCCGCACGCGACAGGCGCGCTTGCAACGGATGTTATGAACGGCGGGAATCTGCGCCGTAAAAAGGCAGTGGGCGGAGCATGGAAGAATTAGCGTGTTTCACGGCCCTGTATCTCCATTCCTGGGCATGTTTGGGCGGGGGACCACGACACATCGACATCTGGGGGGCTGATAGTCTCATACACCCTCAATGTGTATGAGCGTACTATGTGTCTTAAGGAGAAATTGAACGAGTCTTTTGCCGCTGTCGGCAAGCGTCTCGATGCTCTCCCGGCTGTTGCCATGCTTCAACCCGACGCCCAGACCCCTAAGGTTATTCCCTTCTCGGGCGCTACGGATACTGGCGTCCAGTTTTCCATTTGGTTACGGCGCCTCGAAGATATCATGCGCATGCGACCGGTTCCTCTCACCGATGAGCAGCGGGCCAATTTTCTTATTGGTCATCTTGATGGGGTGGCCCGCGAAAAGGTGGAGGAGCTGGACGGTGACTCCAAAAAGAGTTACTCCACAATTGTCAGCCACCTAACTGCATTCTTCGAAAGTCCTCAGCAGCGTTACGTTGCTCGTCAAAAACTATCGGCATGCCACCAAGAACCAGGCGAACCGTGCACATCGTTTGCCAACCGGGTGCTCAACCTGGTTCGGGCGGCCACGTCGGGCCAGGACCCCTTCACGCAAAAGGAACGAGTCCTTGAGGAATTCGTGGGCCGTCTACGGGGCGACATTCGTTATTTCGTCAAGCTGGATAACCCCGTCTCCTTTGAGCAAGCGGTGGCCAAAGCCCAAATGGTGGAGCAGCTTTTGAGCGAGGCCACAGCTGACCGTCTTCTTCACCCCGCGTCAGCCCCAGCCTCCGTACAGGTTGCATCCCGCTCTTCCCGCCCGGGAAATTATGGCTCGACCCAACGCTCCTCCTTTCGTTCCCGGACTTCACCACAACCCTCAGGGGTCCGCCGCATCCCGGCGCCACAACCGCGTATAGCCAACGATTTTCGTTGCTTCACTTGCACGGTTACGGCCACTTTGCTAAAAACTCTTTCACAGACTAAACTAATTGGTCTTGATGACAAATAATGGAGTTCCGCAGAGCTCTTCCCTCCAAGAGACAGGATAGGCTGCGTTTATACTTTGCGGCAGCGTAGCGTAGCGCTTCCAGCGTACGCCAGCGGCAGTGCCGGGGAGAGGATGCATATCGATCTAGCGTTCCCAGCGTCACCAGCGTCACGCTAGCGTTACGCCAGCGTTTCTCCAGCGTTTCACCAGCGTTTTGCTAGCGTTTGCAGCGGCAGGGGAGTAGAGACTATGGGAGAGCTGGAGGGTACAAAACACATCGATTGCGCGTCTCTCACTCGCCCTCAGTCTCTACAATACACACATTCGCTTCTGGCGTCTCGCGACGGCCACATAAGTCTCCACTATATTCACGTCGGATTCGCGCGTCTGCTCACGGCCTACATAGTTCTGACAATACACGTCGATTCCGCGTCTCTCACGGCCACATAGTCTCTACTCCCTGCCGCTGCAAGCGCTAGCAAAACGCTGGTGCCGCTGGAGAAACGCTCGAGAAACGCTGGTGAAGCTAGATCGATAGCTATGCTTCCCGTGCCCTCGCTACGCCAGCGTACGCTGGTGACGCTGGGAAGCTAGATCGATATCTATCCTTTCCCCGGCACTGCCGCTGGCGTACGCTGGAAGCGCTACGCTACGCTGCCGCAAAGTATTGTAAGGGTTAGGCAGTACTAGAATTACAGGGCAGCATGTTGATGCTTCGATGAACTTGCTTGATTACAGGAGGCGGAGACGGCGCGGAGATGGTACGATGGAATGGCATCATCTTTGGTAACGCGGCCTGCAGAGTGAACGTCTCCTGATCCGACTCCGCCACACCTCGGACCCTCCATGCTTCCTCGGGCTCATGCCCGGCAACCGGACACCGTTACATGACGCCCGATTCCTCCGCAACACGAGTGAGAAAGTAGATTATAATAAAGTCTGTGATGATTCTTGTGTGTTGGTGTGTGCTGAGGGATGAGGGACACTTAGGATGACGGTCCCGCCATATTGTATAAACGCAGCCATATTTTTGCAAACTCCTGCCAGTATAGCGTAAAATGACGCGACGACATTGTACGCAGGTAATGATACCAGTTCCATTTCAATCGGTCACGTAACACAGAGAGCTTGAACAACGCAAATAAACGGGTGAGGTTCTGGCAATGACCAGTACCCCTGGAATGAACCACTGTATCTCAGAAGACTACATATCCTAAAAGTGTGTGAGAGCAAACTTGCTCTAGCAAGACTTGTGTTGCCAGTCGCTTCCTTCATGAATATGGGGACTTTAGCGGAAACTTGGCCGATTCGATCTGATAGGTGAAACGCGATCTTTCTACTGCTGAGCTGAGTCCAATCAACTAATGGCTGAACACTGTATACAAGGAAATGCTCCAATAAATTTCAGATATTATGGTCCCGGAGAAACCAAATTTTTTCTCCCTTCGCAAGTTCTCCGCATCAACGACAAGTCTACCATAAATGGCCGATGAACAGTTTGATGCGTTTATACACTGATCCTAAGCTTTAAAACTGTCGGGGAGTACTTTAGCTTGCAAGGGAGGCTTTAAAACAGTTCGGGGAGCATTTTAGCTCGCAAGGGAAAAGGATTGAACGCATTGTGCCACGTGAGAAAATGATACCATTAGTTATGCCACGTGAGAATATGATACCATTTGATAAAGTATCATATCGTGCTTATCAGTAGACAAGAATGTTTGCAATGCCCCTTGACCGAGGGGAAACAGCGGTGAGCAGCAATGTGTTCGTACCCCACTGTCCTTAACCGCATACCAGTCCCTTACCCTGAGAACGAAATAATTCAGCAAATATCGCTGATGTGCACTTGTACCAAAATAAAATAGTATAAATGATGCGAAACGAAAGTTCAAGAAGAACATAGCGAGGGAGCGAAGATGAATCTACAGCCCGAGACAAACTCAGTTAGCAAATCCACCTTAAATCCATCATAACTCATTTCTATACGTCGGAGTATGGTGCTTGTGCTGTCGCGGAGTCTCATTACTTATCTGAATGTGTTATAACAATGTGAAACTCCAAAAATTTATATTTTTAAAATTTATCTCATCTCATGCGATATGTGTAGGAATGCAGGGGATATTTGGCGGACCTGAAGAAGGTGCTAGGCACCCGCAGTATGTGCAAATAGATGGTATTTTGAAAAAACTTCTTGATTTTTTGCTGCTTTTTGAGTGTTTTGGGAATAAAATTCTGAAGTTTTCAGCATTGTTATAACACATTCATGTCTATAAATCAGCTGGTACTGCTAAATAACTTAGTACAGTAGCAAAGAACATATTAAATAGGTTTGAACTTCTCACCTCGTTCGAGCACCGATTGTATAGTATTATGCATAACAATTTTCGTCTCTTCTACTTCTTCCTAAAAATAATGTTTGAATGAGAAAAATTGCAAGGGATGCTCTCATAGTGACTATCATAACATTTCATGAAAACTGTGAACTAGCATTACTGAATGCGTCAATAAGGCTCGGCCTCTCGCGCGGATTCCTGTTCCATTTTGCGAGCATACTCCGGTAAACTTGTATACAATACCAGTCTTTTTTTGCCCGCCCCTCCTTGATCTGCGCCAGTGGATAAACAACCTGCCAATCACCGAGAACAGACTGTTTCCTCTAGTAGAAAGGAAATATTTCAGAAGATAACTCTCTGCAAAGAGGCTACAAATTGTGCTGGTAATACTATGAAAACCCACAAAGCACTGGTTTAGAAAAAGGAAACTGACCCATTGAACAGCATGAACCTTTGCACTGAAGTCGTCTAATACCCTCGTCATCATGCTCATCGCCACACGAGCCTTGAAACAAACACAGTCGCTGTGCAAGATATCATTTATACAAGCTGACAGTCGCACAAAAGTTGAAAACGTGACAAAAACTAATTTTAACTGTGCATTGAGCTTTTTCCTCAAACATTTTTGATCTGAACAGAAAAAACCAATTCAAATGAAAATAGAACTTTGCTGATAAGGTGCGTCTCAGCCTGGACACGGAGCACTTGTTCAAGCGTTCATCCACCTTTCATTTTCGAGAGTTCGCAGGACAAACGGAAACAGAGAAACAGAAAATGAAGACAGGGACTCTTCCCTTCTCTACTTCTGTTGAATATATGAAAAGGGAACAGTACGGGGACTCGAACTAGCTCAAGCCGGTGATACTGCTACAGCAGAAATTCCTCACTTGAACAGGGTTATTATTCCACTATATACAATCCGCTAAGTTTGTTTGTTGGTGTGAGGATAGGTGTGTATGTTTGTGCGTTTTGACCGGAAATTCATAACTTCATTTAAGTCCGGGGCAGAGAGTTTGAATTCGTAAGTTACATAGGCGGGCTCGACGTGAACATCATTGATGGGTGGCAGAAGGTGATAACAAGGGCAAGGGCTAACAAGGCGAGTAAAGGTGGAATGTTGCTTCCAAGAGGTGATATGGGGACAGGATGGGATTGTTTTCGGTGGGCGGCAGAAGTGGTAAGACAAGGGCTGACAAGGTCCCTCAAAAAAAGGGGGAGGGTACCAAATTCATAACTCGCGTCACGGCAACGGTGGTTCCAAAAAATGGTGTACGGGGCAGGCTGGGAATAATATTGGTGGGTGGCAGGAAGTGGTGGCAGCTGATAAGATACCACATGAATAACTCCAGAGAGCAAGCTCTTGAAAAGTTTAGCTCAAGTTGTAGCAACAGTGGTAGACTGCTTCCAACAGTGATTCAAGGGTGGTTAGAGAACATTGGTGGTGGAAAATAGGTAGTGATGTAGTGTCCGATAAGTGCTTATAAGCATGATCAACTTTCTTATCGCGCACTGCGGCGTTAAACAGCAGTTATCAAACAATACAGCTTAAAACATGTAAAAAGCTTCTAACCCAGCTAAAGTGGGATGAACAGTGCCTCCGGCAATGTTTCTTTTTCAGGAAAATGCATGCATTATATCGTGTGAACTCATAAAAAACGTTGGCCCATTGGTGCAGGAGTTGTCAAGAGTTTCTTGACGTTGACAAGTTATCATGAATTTCGGGGCTTGAAGGCACACAAAAAAGAAATCGAAAAGCTGTCAATCTACTGCAGCTTTAGCTCAAAAACTTTCAGCGAAAGAAGCTATCATTAGATGGCAATTAAGTTCTGAATTTGGCTACCGAAAACTTTGATATACTGTTGCTAAAATCGTTGTTTTGCGTAGGCTACGAGACGGTTAGTAGGGTATTTCGCAAGGGCAAGCGCCTCAGCGAGGCGCGAAGACCTCGGGTCATCGATGGGCGTGCCGGGTCACGCATCCCCTGGGATGGAGGGGCAACTAAGCCAATTCCCGGCTATTTCTCTTACTGAGCTGTTCGTCAATTCGACACAGTTAGTGGCTTCGTATCTTTAGGCCTCCATAGACATTGTTTTTGGTCCTCCTCTTTTCAATAGTGTGTGCAGTTCTAGTCATTCTTATCGCTCAAGTCTAATTTTAGATACAGTGTGCGGTTAACGACAAAAATTTCGGTTCGTGGCGGTTCAAAATGCCAGAGGAAGATAGGGTTCAAAGCCCAGTGATTCACCAACTAACCACCAGCGGAGGGATCGTCCAGTCAGCCTAAGGTGTTCCAGCTATCGGAAGAAACCTTAGCAAGACTACTCGAGCAAGAGCGGTACGTTGGCCCCGGTGGCCCTACCGAGGCATACGTTTGCGAGGATCGGACTGGAACGGCAAATTCGCAGAGTTTAAACGAAAGAGATAATGGACATCATTCGCCCAGTCATCAATGTGGCAAAGGAAGGCGAAATAAAGGAGCGACTGGAAAACGCCGTATCGCTGCTCTCAGCTAGAAACGAACTACTAGTGGTCGCTGACGGAGACGTATCAGTCTTCGCTTTTTATGATCAGCAAAAGAAGGCTGAAACAACTAAAGACCCTATTTTGGTGGAATTCTTGAAAAGAAAGAGAAAGAGGAAACAAAGAAGAAATCGACAAGGAAATCGAACCGTTTCGAACCCTATCACGGCGGCTCAAAACTCCCTTTCGATTTCAGAGGGCGGCATGGGCTCCCGCACCTCCTCAGTACATGCCCGAGAGAGCACGAGGTCACCCCAAAATGGAGTTCCAAGGCACTTCTGACGGATCTAGAATGGAACTTCGTCCTACAAGCAGAGGGGCCTCAAGTAAGGACATGTGCTATCAGTGCGGACGGTTCGGACACTTCGCGACCGAATGCAAATTTCCGAGGAAATACAAGTGAGAAAGCAGTATTTGTAATTTTTATTTTTTATTTCAGGTAATATTCATACGAAAATAGAGTTCTGGTTGTCTTTAAACATTCCTACGTTTCTCAGGAAAACATTAGAGGAGGGTTTCCTCCCAAAATTTTTGGCGGAACCTAGCCTTAGGTTCATAGAACAACAGGGGTCTACAGCAGTTGATAGTAGCTTTGTTTCAGAATCAAGATTGCCAATCTCTTCTTGGTTCTAATGCTATTTCTGTATGTACCAATACCCAGGGTATCCGCATAAATCCCCTCTCAGTTGCAGAAGGTAAGAAACTTCGTCTTATTCTAGACTTGTCAGATTTGAACAAGTATCTCGAGAAGGTCCATATAAAGTTCGAAGATTTGTCAAAGGTTAGAGACCTGTTGACGTGTCATGGCTTCATGACTTGTTTTGACCTTCGATCGGGCTATCACCATGTCCGGGTGCACGAGAGTTTCAGAAAGTACCTTGGGTTTCCAATGGGAGAACCAAACTTACGCCTTCAACGTACTGCCGTTCGGGCTTTCCCCAGCTCCTTACATTTTCACTAAGCTCTTCCGCCCCCTGTTAGCGAGATGGAGATCTCAAGGCATAGGTGTGGCTATCTATCTAGACGACGGACTAATTTGGGCTGGTTCAGAGAGCGAATGTAACAGATTTTCTGCCGTTGTTAGGACGGATTTGGAGGAGGCCGGGTTTTTCATTGCAGAGGAAAAGTGTATTTGGCGGCCATGCCAGAAAATGACCTGGTTAGGTCATAGTATCGATCTTAAAGAAATGTCGCTTGACATTACGTTAGAAAGAAAGGAGAAAATGAGAATGATTATAGGTTCTTTATTGAAAACCAGGAACCCTTCTCTGAGAAGCAGACTGAGACTGTTAGGCACCATTGCCTCAATGCATTTGATTATCCCTCCGGATTTATCTAAGAGGAATCGCGCAGTGATTTCAGAAGTCGCTGATAAAGTATCTAGCGGGTACAGACTAGGTTTCAGGTGGCCTTTCACATCAGAAGAAAGGGAAGAGAGTCTCTCCTGGCTGCAGTTCTTAGACGCCAGTAAAACGGATCTGCACAATTTTCGGGGGGTTTTCCGCGACTTTCTTCGTAATTTCAACAGACGCTTCTAACTCAGGAGTGGGAGCAGTTTTTCGTACTTCTTCCGGGTCCAATCTCATAGCCGCATCCGCCACTTGGCCACTCGTCTGAGGGAAGCTTCAAGTGCAGCCAGAACTGTTCGGTATCTTGCAAGCGCTCAAATCATTTGGCTCACTGATTAGTAACGAAAAGGTTCAAATTCAGACGGATAGTCAAGCTGCTCAGGCAATATTTTACAAAGGTAGTTCGAAGAAGGCGCTGCAAGAGCTAGCCACCCAAATTTGGGAAACAGCGGGACATCTTAAGATAGATGTAGAGGTATTCTGGATTCCCAGGGAGCTCAATGCTGAGGCAGACAGGGCGTCGAGATTTGTTGACTTGAATGGGTGGTCCATTCTTGATTCCATTTTTGACAAATTGAATAGAACTTGGGGACCTTTCGAGGTTGACTTGTTCGCAGACGAAAATAACAAGAAGTGCGAAACGTTTGTTTCCAGATGGTTTTGCGAGAACTGCTCAGCCGTTGATGCCTTCAGTGACACTTCATCGAGGTTCTGGTGTGAGTATTATTGCTGGTGGGTTCCTCCTCCTCATTTGATTGTGCGAACAATTTCGACAGCTCGGAGGTTTGGTAGTAAGGGTGTATTGGGTTTTCCTCTTTGGCTTCACACATGCTTTATTCGTGCATCGGCTCCGTACTAGTACGGGGGTGGGATGCCCGGGGGTTTGGATCACACCTTTTGTGTCGTTACCAAGGGCAGTGCTCTCATAAAAGACGCATCATCATCTTTCACCTTTTCATCCCCATCGGTCAATTTTGACTTCGTCTTCGCTAAAGTTGATTTCTCTGTACCCTCGCGCTTTAAAAATTCCGTCGAGTAGCAGAAGCAAAATGTAGTTTTTGACGAAGTTTCGGAGTCAAAATCGTTGTTTTGCGTAGGCTACGAGACGGTTAGTAGGGTATTTCGCAAGGGCAAGCGCCTCAGCGAGGCGCGAAGACCTCGGGGTGCATCGATGCGTGCCGTGTTCAACGTCACGCATCCCCTGGATGGCGGGGCAAGCTAAGCCATTCCGGCTATTTTCTGCTTACTGAGCTCCCACCCACCCTCCCCTCTTTAACTCATGGTGTCTCGTTCAGGCGAGAAGTGGATGGCATGGTGTGATACGATCGCTATTGCTCGCAACCAGGGACAGGAAGAACTGGCTCAGATCGTGGGCAAATCCGCCAACTGCTCTCTGGCACCAAGCACGATGTCCGCTTACTCCTCCATGAGATATCGCTTCGAGGCTTTCGCTTCTTCTCTCCCCAATGCGCGCCTACAATTGGGGAAGGTTAGAAAAACCTGTTCATAGCACATTTAATTCATAAACAACAGCTTAAATGCATCCCTATGGCCGTAGCCTCCTTGAATTTCTTCTACGGTGGGTTGAAAGGCGGGGAAGCAGAGCTCCAAAAGCTGCTAATAGATTCAGCGAAAAGAGAAACACCCTCAGTGAGGCATAGAAAGAAAGCCTCTGAGGAGGACATAGGCGTCATAATTAATTGGGCGTTACAAAACGATTCGCAGGAGAATATTCGAGGCGCCTGTGCCATCCTTATTTCATTCCTGGCCTTTTTAAGGATAAGCGAGACAGTTAATGTCCAAAAGAATCACCTTCATACAAAGGCGCAGGGATTTGGTGGCTATATATACCCAGATCCAAGACAGACCAGTTTAAGAAAGGGGAAACAGTGGCCTTCAAAGTGGTGGATACATATAAAATTCTCTGGGATAAATTCTTCGAACAGTTCATTCAGGGATCAGGAGAAGAATTCCTTTTCTCTTCCTGCCCGGGACTCCCCTCTTCCACAGATGCGTTGAGAAAGCACATGAACGAAATTTTTCGTTCTGCAGGACTGCATCACAAGGGTTTAACCCCGCATTCCCTACGGGGAGGGGCAGCTACTGCGGCATTGAGGAGAGGCGTTAGCCAAGACGATATCAAAAGAGTGGGCCGTTGGAAGTCTACTTCCTCGATGCTCCATTACATAGAGCCGACACCGATCTAGGGTAATCATCACTATACTTTATTTTTCAGGCGTAGAACTTCTATCATTCAGATATGGACACTGGAAGTTTGCAACAGAGGGACTACCACATCAACCCTCCGACGTACACGAGGTCGCTTCGAAACGTACTTTCTATGTGACCAGGCAAGGGCTTTGGGTGCAAATTCACAATTTGTACAGTTACTTTGTCCTATGAAATGTTGTGATTCTATTCAACTTAGGGATTACATATAACTATTCCATTGTCACTCATTGATCATATAGGAAGGTGTGTTAATTGAACGATTCTTGGCGAAACAGATTATTGTGTCGCGAAAAGGTTTTTCGAGATAGTTGTATCGTACAGCAGAAATAAAGCCTCAACCGTCGAGTAGCAGAAGCAAAATGTAGTTTGACGAAGTTTTTCCGGAGTCAAAACGCGTTTCGGAATTCAAACAACAAACAGATCAAACAAATAAAGGAGTATTTTGGAAGTCTGGAGAAAGTTGCGGAAAAAGCAATACAAAAAAAAACAAAAAAAGTAAAATCAGAATGAATTAGTATTTGGTATCACAGATTAGTTGATCTTAGAAATTACCTGATATTCTCCGTCGGTCACTGACACTGCTGCTAATCCATCAGAACGCACATAGCAATGACAAAAGTACTCATTTTCCTTTACAGTGCTGCGGGCACCGAGCCCTGAACGTTCCACGAGTAACTTTCCAGTGAACTGCATGAACTCCTGGAATTGTTATTTTCAACAAATAAGGTACTACATCATCAAGAAATTTACAAGTTCTTATCACAGAAGAACGACTCGCAAAAATGAAGTAGTAGAACGGTTACCGAACTTCGTTTAATGTAAACTGACCTGTACAGATCCTCTCTGAAAGAAGCTAAATGAAGAGAGATCGAAGGCAGATTTGAACGACCGCACAGTTCCATCTGCACCTTTGTGATAGATTAATATCGAATACAGCTTCATCCTGAACCACCTGAGAACTACAGAAAAAGTTGTCAAGATGATGACCGTATAAAGGCTCGCCAGTTTCAAGAATTAATTCATGGGCAATTTAACCACTGCTGAATAAAAATGACGCATAAAAAATAAAATCAAACTTTTATTCCAATAGAGATGCACATCGTTTTGATCACATAAAAATAACAACAGATGAGGACCACAATAGTAAAACAAGGCAATATCGAATACATCCAAAAAAGTAAAAAGGGCAAATCCACAATCGATTAAAATTCATGTAAGCTACCTGTGCCATGTGGTATATTAGAATCTCTCTAGAGGCAGGGTCGCGATGTATAAACTATTCCACAAATTGTAAATATATCGACTAGGGAATGTAAGGATGGCCCATAAGAGTCGTCAAATCCTCACTATTAAACGGTAATGCCATAAGGCGTTGCAGAGAAGATTGGATGCAAATCTCTATAACAGTGTTAGCAGGAATGGCGAACCAGACTAACTGAGCATGCCTTTGTCGCGAAACTTCCTGCACTGCCCAGGAGATGAAGCCTTACAACGTATACTTGCTGCAGTAAACAACACTTAGTGAGCTGCCGAACACCGCCCACCAGAAACCACTTACGCCGCGCCAAGGAAAGGGCAACTCTATCATCTCAATACACTTGTTTACCCGAGAAGGTAGCTTTTCAATAGCCTAAAAATTTTCCTCATTGTCCCCTTAAAAGTGCCGAGGTGCGCCTCCATTAGCTTTTCAATTGTCAGAAAACGCCCCACCGCGAAGAACTTTTTCTAGACCGTTGACTTTGCTACAAGTGAGCAAGAAGTAATCAAATCATTTTCTCAATTCCAATGTTATCGCATCAGTCATTCTGGTCTTTTTTCCCAAAGGATAACTAGAACAGCATTACTTTTACTTTTACTAACAGCGTTGATGATAACTAGAGAGTGGGAGTGCCGTTACCTTTTCAAGTGATTTCTTCTTCGCACACGGCTTAGCCGCTTACCCCTACGAGAACACTTTGAACGCCGTCAGACGTATATCTTCCCTGGTCTGCTATCCCATTCTGCAGTGGCGCCATGCCGAAACTCAACTATGTAAACTAAATACCATCGCGGCAAGATTTCATGGCCATAGATTATTTTCATGGCCATAGATATGACTTCTTTGTATGATTGCCGCGATGCTCCAGCATATTGAGGACAGCTTCCACAATATCCTGACCAAAACAGTCAACAGTGATGAATAGCCAGCATTGAGAGCGAGCGTAGCGGAAGCAGACGCGCGCGAACACCCCCCCCCCCCCTGTAACGGCAAGAGAAAAAAATGAACTGTTCTCGTGGGGAAAGCAGAGGGGCAAGGGTGAGTCTGAAAACCTGGCATACCACCATTCCGAAATTAAAAAAAAAACAATGCTGAAGGTCAGTATTGCCGATCAACCATTAAAGTTGTGAGACATCAACTTTCGAAACCCCAAGCCAAAGAATTATCACCTACTCTCTGCCGAGAATCCTCGACAGAAAATCTGCGAGGTATCGACTCCTTCAGGCCAGAAGTGAGGAAACCCTGCAGCATAAATGTATGGAATCAATTATTTAGATCATAGACACTTCCGACGATGCACAAGAATAACATGGCCGTATCCGTACATCTCACAGCCAAGAATGCTGTTTGGTCACGCGCAACTTAAGGCTGAGTATACTAGCGCATCTCTGAGCAGATCACACATGGCCAGGTTTCACTATTGAAATAGGCTGTGTTCATACATTGCGACAACGCACATTAGCGTTTGCCAGCGTACAGCGGCCTCCGGGAGAGGAGAGCAACTGGGGAACTAGAAGGGTAGCAGCCAGCTGGATTAAGGGACTGAAACTGCGGCGTGCTACCACACCGTGGAAACATAGAACTATGCAATCTGATGCACGGTGCAGTGCTGCTCTACGGTGCCGTTAAACGACGCAATTGCACAACGATTTAGGCAGCTGTCTGCAACCCTCCTAATTCCCCATACTTCCCACTACTGGACATTCCTGTACACTGGCAAAAGGGACAAACGCTGGTGAACGGGTCAGAAGTCATCTGTCAACCGTATGTCCTCTCGCTGTGCGGCTCCAGAGGTATTTCTCATCACATTTTTTGTTCCAGTGTTCGAAGGAAGGGAAATAAGGAAGGAGGATGAGATGAGGAAGGGAAAAAAGAAAGGAGGAAAGGAAAAGGAAGGAAGAGGCAGTCCCCGCGATTGACAGATATCCGAAGACCCTGCTGGACGCTGCCGCAACGTATGAACGCAGCCTAAGACCTGAATAGTGCTCACCCATTCCACAAGTTGACGACAATTACGAACCAACCTCAATCGGAATAATAATTATAATAATAATGAACATTTCTAGTATAACTTTTGGAAGGACACCGTTTAAAGTACCTATAAACCATAATAAGGCCCATCACACGTTAATTCAAATACCGTATTTGCAAACATCTATTACGCCAATAATGGCTCGATAGCAGCATTCCATTTTAGTTCGAATTCCCTCTCACTAAATCTATTTACTGACGCTCGAGCAGCTTCTCGCACAGCGTCACGTTCTAGCCGCGACATTTCCACAATGTGCAGTACAAGTCTCACATACTCTAAAATTCTCGATACCTTTGGTGTTATGCGATACATGTTACAAATAAAACGACATTACAAACACTCGAGGAGGTAAATTAGGTCGCATTCACACATGCCAACGTCAAAGAAAAGACGAAACTGCGAAGAGAAGAAAGTATATTTATTAATTTGAAAAACCGCAGAATTGGTAGAAATGCCGAAGACGGACAACGACCTGTTAGGGTGTGATCGCTCAGCTCGTCCCTGGGTGAAATGAAGATTCTGCGCAATTTCGATATTTCTGCCGATTCTGCATTTCTGCATTTCTCCCAATGCCGCGGTTCTTCAGATCGCTATGCATTCCTTCTTCTAATCGCACTAACTTCGTCATTTCTTCAAAGCCGTCATGTATGAATGCGGCCTTACAAATGCACATTGCAATTCATACTTACCCTCTTTGGTAGCTGCAAGGAAGCCTATCGGCTGTGTCTCTTTTTTGCCATCTATAGGTAATACAATATCCATTTGGGGACCACCTGAAGCAATAATCAGCTGCATACGTCAGACTAAAAATACTGGAAGTACTGAGAACACTCGTCACTCCGCGAGCCAGCAACAGAACCAAAATAATGTCAGGCCACTCAGCCCGCAAACACAAGGTGTCCCACCGCCACACACCGGCCACTCAGCTTCAATTGCTGAAGACTCCAAAGTAGCGTCCTAATTTCGCGCTTTCCTCGACCATCACTCGCCCCCTGTACACTCCTCGTCCTTCCTGTCGGCCGCCAAAACATTTTCCTGATGGAGAGAAGTCAGAAGAAAGTTAGGTAACCAGAGTGGTTGCGCCTGAGCAGAACCTAACCACTCTCGCGGGACACTGCAGCACCGCACCACAGACTCGAAAAAAATCACGTTCTACCGATCATCCAGAAATAGTCGAACCCCTTGTGAAAAAACAGAGAATCATTTCAAACGATCTTTGACAACACTACAGTCTGTGCACAAATTATTAGTGCGCACCAGCCCATTCCCCCAACACGACATAGCCGAAATGACGTGCATCTCCAATGTGTCTGAACTGCCGAATCAGCGCTCGATCTCGGCTAGAGAATTGTGAATATGAATCCCATAAAGCAAAATTCCGTCGCTAATTCGGTTAAGCGCAGAGTTCAGCTGTCGCGCCCCATCGCAAGCGCGTCGCTAGCTACAATTTGCTAATCACTCCGGTCCTATCCACGCGCACGCGTGCAGATCCGAAATGATTGCGCGGGCCGGCTGTGTTTCGAGGAGGCACGAGGGCAGGCGGTGAATTCAAGACAATCGCAGTATAACTTCTATAACTCTTCCAAAACAGTGCCAGGCGCGATTCGCCTCTAGCCCTATGTGATTACCCGCCCATTGCGTACCGCAGTGTATTTGCGCGACGCGATTTCTGGCGCGCTGAGTATAAAAACATAAGATTTTTGTCTTATACATACTAACATAAAAATATTGCAGCAGCCACCATCGTTTACTGCATGCACTTTTAAAAGTATACGTCTATGTAACAGGGGAATTCAATATTGTTCCGCGCTGATAAAGGAGTAAACGCCCGAAAAATGCGAAAATAGCAAAACAAGCTTGAATCTGTGTGTAACCGCAGGAATTGAAAAAGTGACACGAGTGTGCTAGAGAGCTGTTTCACGTCACAGCCATTTTAAAATTTTCACGTCGTATAACGCCTAAGCAGGATTTTCGGTTTTATTGTAACCAGGAGAGTGAATTAATCGTGATACTTGAGGTATTAGCTCGAAAAATCGCTAGCAACATAGTGTCTATTATTCATCTCGCGCAATTTACCCCACACCCATTTTTGTCGGCCATCGCGAACGGACTTCAGGAATATACCTACTCTTTCCAGTCATCTAACAATGCTAAATGAGTTCACACTAAGAGTGCTTCACCATGTGCAGCACGCGGTACGCAATGGGTTAAAACACCGCTACCCCTCCTCTTCCTTAACACTCTTTCAATACACAAGCGGTGAGCGCCAATCAATTCCCATCCGCGGATGCGTTCGCTTGTATAGGATTGCAGCGCTGTTGCGATTGCAGCGCGCTGACGCGCGTTACAGCGCGTCATCGCGAAGTCTGAACGCCTACTACTTTGATAATGCTTGTCACTTTTCGCTTTCCATTAATGGACTTGTAGGCATAATGACCTAGTATCCGGAATAACTGAAGGACCAGCTATTCAGCAAGAGGCAAAACATCAGTGCAACAAGAAAGGATACAGAACTTCCCAGATCACAATTTCGGAAAAAGGAACATGTAAAAGAACGGAGTCGGTGGAAAGAAGAGAAACAAAAAAAAACGCATAAAAGCAAAACAATTACCGAAAGTAAGTCAAGCAGTTCCTCGTAAGCTACATTGAGTTTCCATTCCACATTCGAAGTTAAGCCCCACTCAGCACATAAGTCCTTCAAAAGTACTGATCCGATATGAAGTCATCAAATCAACCAACTCATAAGGACAAATAGTGACCCTACCTTCAAAGCTTTGACACGTGCATAATCTTCTTGGTTTCGGCAGCCGCCCGCAATTGTTAACTTGACCTGCAAAAAGCTCAGTTCCACAAATTTGTTTAGTGAGTTGTAGCAGCACACTCTCGTAAAATATGAATAAATAATCGAATAAATAAGTAAAATTTGAGCAGGGCCTAGAAATAATAGTGGAATTAGTTAGAAAGACGTCAAACGTGATAAAAATATACTCCTATCAAAATCAGAGAAATTTTGGAGGCGAAGATGGGGACAGATCAATATTGAATTCTTAATCGAACAGTATGAACACAGGAATTTCGGCAGAGACCAGCGTTCCTGTTTGAGAACGAGATCCGACACATGAGATCGCATCGAGATACCGCGCGAGAACACCCCACCGCGGCACAGCGGCGTGTTCTAAGCCGAGGGCCCTTGTGGGACTTTTCTCTCGCACCAAATGACGAGAACTCCACTGTCGTCTGTCACTACACAACCATCCAAAGGGTTATGTTATTGTGAGGGGGAAATGCCTGAGGTTTTATCAAACAGACTTCCTGACTGGAATCTCCTTGAACGTCGCCCCACTCTTTTGTTGACCATTATGTTATTTTTCGCCTCGCTCAAAGGTTCAAAGCTCAAAGACCCTTTGCTAATCTGGTTGACAAAGATGAATTGAGTAGCTGGCAACCATTCGACAAACATCAACAATCGACATCATAACAGCAACATTTACTTAGAAAATTTATACGTGTACGCCTTCGAATTGCATGCGACGATCCTGAGGAAATCACCGACTTCGCTCTGCCCATCCAGTCCTGTTTGCCCCCACAGACTCATGGGGGCGCTGATTACCTTTAATGCCAGACTTTCCGAAACATAGGCCAAAGTCTTCACTGAAACATTCCTTTGATTCTCTCAACACGAAAACCACACGTCTATATGAGGGTTAAGCGCCGGGCTCTGGGGACAGAATAAGTCTAATTTCGTTCACGAGGATAAACTTATCCCATAAACAAAAATCTTAGATCGAGAAGGGCCAGATCTTCCAGATTTTGACCGAAACTTCCATGAAAAAATTCATGATCAAAGTAAGGCCTAGATTTCGAAAAGTAAGGCAGTGAAAGATAAATAGTGCCGCTTATCTGCCGATGCTTTCGAATCAAATGGAAAACAGGGAGAACGGACCATTGTCGCTTCCCTCTCCCATCCGTTCAAACACTTCCCACTGTCATGCACTTTTCTATTGAGTAAAATAAACTCAAACCATATCGCACCAAATACGGCCCGATGGCAATTCGATTCGGTACATGTATCACCTACAACCAGACACAGTCCAAACGGGATTAATTCAGCATTGCGCTTCGAACTTCCTAATCTGTTACTGTCCTCGACACCTCCGTATGTAATAGGACAGAAATCGGCAGTAGAGAATATTTATTAAACGAATGAACTCAACCACACAGTGGGGTTTATATACCCCCGATATGATATCAACATATAGGCGGAAAAACTGTTTCACTTTTCCACAGGCACGGTGTCGGCCTATCCAACACCTCCCCCCTAAGATGGACACTCTAGGTGTACGTCTTCTTCCTCGGGCTGTTCGATAACCAATCGTTGCGGTGCACGGCGTACTCTTGCTGCTTTTTCTCTTGAGGCATCATTTGTCGTGCATGTAGAGGTGTCGATCGTTGGTGTGGTCTGCAGGTTGGTGGCGGTTGTAGTGGTAGTTGGTGGCGTCGAGCATGGAAGCAACGGCAGTTCGGAAAGTTCGATGTCTGGCTCTGTAGTACATGGAAATTTGATGAAACGAGGACGCAATTGGTTAGCGTGCCGTCTCCATATTTGTCCATCTACTGAGACATCATAGAGCCTGTGCCATCTGTCTTTGCTGTATATGACCGGGCATTTGTCGTGGTGTTCCAGAACGATAATCCATTGTCCAGATTGAATCACCCACGTTAAACTCCTTCTGCCGTGCTCCATTGCGTGGCGATTCGTATTGAGGTTTAATCTTGTTTTGCATCACTTCTTTCCGAGTGGCGGACGGCCTCAGGAGGCTGAGTTTTGTCCGGATCTCTCTTCCGAGAAACGCTTCAGCTGGTGATTGTCCTCCTGGCGTCGAAGGGCAAGGGGTTCGGCGGTAGTTCAGTAGAAAGTTTTGTAGTGCTTCACTCGGCGACGAGGTTTCCTTCATCTTCGCGAAACTCCTTTTAAGTATTTCTACCGCAAGTTCTGCCTGGCCGTTAGACTGCGGGTGGAACGGAGGTGACTTGATGTGTCTTATACCGTTCTTCTTGCAGAACTCGCTGAAGTCGTTGGAAGTAAATTGAGGTCCGTTGTCCGTCACTAGCGTTTGTGGATTTCCGAATTGGGCGAAGAGTCGACGCAATTCTCTGATCGTGCTGCTCGTTGTCGTAGATGCCATTTCGACGATCTCCGGCCACTTTGAGAAGGCATCAACGATGATGAGGTACATCTTCCCCTCCATCGGTCCAGCGAAATCGGCGTGTATGCGATCCCACGGTTTCTCCTCCATTGGCCATGAGCAGAGGGTTGCTTTGATAGGGCTCTTCGCAGTTTCCTGGCAGCGGCGGACAGATCTTGACGAAGTTCTTCGATGTCGTTGTTGATGTTCATCCAGTACACGAAATTCCTGGCGAGCATCTTCATCCGTGTCATTCCTGGGTGCCCATCGTGAAGTTCGCATAGTACGGCATTTCGTAAGGTTGCGGGAATGACGAGGCGATCTCCAAAAAGTAGACATCCATTTTGTGTCGAAAGGGATCTTCTTAGGGAGTTGAATCGGGTTGCGACATCCGACTTCCTTGGCCACTTTCCATCTCTGATCCACTCGAAAATATTCTTCAGATCGGGATCCTTCTTGGTTTCTTCTGCTACTGTTTCAGCGTCGACTGGCAGTTTCGTCGTTGCGTTGGCGAAAATAGTCGTCGCATCCATCTCGATCGCTGCAATGACTTGGTCTTCTTGGGTTGTAGATTGCTCAGCGATGAGGCGCGATAAGACGTCTGCTTGTCCGAAACTGGTGCTGCTTCTGTACTCAATACTGAAGTCGTAGCTCTTCACTATGAGGGCCCAGCGTTGCAGTCGATTCGCCGTGTAGACAGGCACTCCTTTCTTGCTCCCAAAGATGGCTAGGAGTGGCTTGTGGTCGGTTAACAGCTTGAAGTGACGTCCGAGGATGTAGCGGTGGAACTTCCGCAGAGCGAACGTAATGGCGAGAGCTTCCTTCTCGACTTCGCGTAGTTCTTTCTCGGCAGCTTGTCAGGGAACGGCAAGCATGGTGTATCGCTTTCTCTGTTCCATCCGAGAAGCGGTGACTGATCACTGCTCCTATCCCGTACTCCGATGCGTCGGCCGCGATGACGATCTCCTTTGTGGGATCGTAGTGGGTGAGCAGTAGGTCCGAGGCTAGCACATCCTTGGCGCGTTGGAAGGCATCTTGGCACTCGGCAGACCATTTGAACGACGCATCCTTCTTCAGAAGAGCATCCAACGGTGCACGAAGTTGTCGCATCTCGCTGACGAAGTGGCCGTAGTAATTGAGCATTCCCAAGAACGATCGCACCTGGGCAATGTCCGTGGGCTGTGGCATCTTGCGGATAGCCTCGATCTTGGCGGGATCGGGTCGGCGTCCGGTTGAATCGATAACGTTTCCCAGGTATCGGAGTTGTGGCATCAGGAAGTTACATTTCTCGATTCGGACGCGGAAGCCATAATCGGATATCCTTTCGAGGGCTTCCAAAGTTGGCGACGTGCTCCTCGATAGTGCGGCCGGTGACGATAACGTCGTCGAGGTATGCAGCGCAGCCTTGAAGTCCGCAAATCATGGAATCAATGACTTGCTGGAAGATGCCGGGCGCAGATTTGATACCAAACGGGAGGCGGTTGTAACGGAAAAGTCCTCTGTGCGTATTAATTGTCAAAATCTCCTTCGCCTCGTCGTCGACTTCGATTTGGAGATAAGCGTCCGCGAAGTCTATCTGCGTGAAAGTCGTGCCGCCATTTAATTTGGTGAATACGTCGTCTGCAGTGGGCAGTGGATGCTGGTGTAGCATTAGGGCATCGTTTAATCCGGTTGAAAAATCAGCACAGAGTCGTAGCGTTCCATTTGTTTTCTTCACGACGACAATAGGTGCTGCCCAGGCAGAATAGTTGACGGCAGAGAGCACTCCTTCTTCGAGCAGGCGATCGATCTCTGCGTCCAAAGCCGTAATGTAGGCGTACGGCACGGGGCGTTTCTTCTTAAAAACTGGATGAGCATTGGGCTTCAACTGGAGCGTCGCCTTGGTCTTCGTACATCGTCCGAGTCCATCTTTGAATACATCGGCGTAGTCGGTCTTCAACTTGGCGACGATCTCGTCTCGGCAGGCGGCGGCAGGATCAGCAAGGATAGTCACACCATTGATGTACTTCTGCAGTGGTTTCACCAAATCTGGGATCTTCTGGATCCACTCCCAACCGAATAAGTCGAGATCTTCGGTGACGTAGCAGAATCCTTGTTCGTGATGCTGCCTTCCATCGGAACTCTTCAACGCAAAATCCACCATGACGCGTCCACTTGTTGGGATCCTCGTACCATTGGCGGCGTTTACGATTGCGTTGTATTTCTCTAGGTGTGGCCTTCCGATTTTCCTCCAGCTCGACCTTGAGATCAGAGTGATCATGGCGCCAGTATCGAGTAGAAGGTTCAGAGAACGTCCATTCACTTCGACTTGTAGGTGTGGCTGAGCGTTCTTGCGTAGAGCGGCCTCAATGCTCCTGATCTGGTAGCTCCTTGCACCGCGACGTCTGGTCTGAGAACGTGACGGCGACCTTGATTCCTGATTTCCAGATCGTGGTGGGTGAGGAAACGCAGTAGTGTCGTCCTTATTCTTCCGCATCTGCTTCGGCTTGAAATTTCTTCTTTTCCTCCTTCTGGTTACGTAATTGACTCTAGTGCCAGCACCGGAGGCATTTTCCAGCATTTTGGCGTCTTCTTTATAAGATTTAATCAGCTGGCACTCACCGGTAAGGTCCTTGATCGAGATGTTGTCACCTTGATCCAACTTTCTTAGAAGGCGCGTTCTGTAGTCGGCAAATTCTGCTCCTTGAAATCCGGCCACATAAAACAGGCATTGTAGACCGTCGAAATCGATGGCGTCGAATTTGGCATCAGAACATCGCGTCCGCACCAGTGTTTCGTAGTTGTTGAAGTCTTGGTGATCGTACTGTATCTTGAAGCACTCGAATCGTCGACGAAACAGCGTTTTGGCAGATCCGAATAGACGATCCATGGCCGAAACCGCTTCTTCCCATGACAGGTCCGACGGCGACTTAGGTGCAATGGAGCCACAGAACAGCTGGTGGCAGTCTTCATCCAGTCGGCTGACTAGGAGACGGGTCCTCTCTTGCTCGCTTAGCTCAGTACAGTCGTTGTCAAACACATCTTTAAATCGCTTGAACCATACGTCAAAGGTCTTACCATTCTCCGCATCGAAATTGAACTTGTCGATTCGTCGGCACATGGAGTCGAAGATTGCCAGTTCCAAACGGCGATTAATTACAGCATGTTTCGAAGGGGCGGGGGGCTTCCTATCTGTATACAACTGCCAAGGCCGGAGTATTTGTAGCTGTACATATGCTTACTTTATGTATTTGTTTTATTATTACATATTTTATTTACATTTCCCAACAACACTGCATCATCTTATTTCCCACTCTGATCCTCTGCTCAATACTGCCTTCAGTTCTGTCATACCAACATCAACATACAGTCGCAGCAAAAAAAAAACTTTTAACAAGCCTGAGTCGGGCGTTTTTTGATAGTTTTACATAGAATTTTCAAATTACACATAAAAACTTTGTTCACTCAAATCGTGTATTTAAATGCTATTTCCAAAATCTGAGTGTGTAACAACAATGTGAAACTCCAAAAGTTTATTCCATAAACTTTTTGGAGTTTCACATTGTTGTTACACACTCAGATAAGAAATGAGACTCCGGGACAGCACCATACTCCGGATGGCTATTTCCAAAAATAAAATTCGTCGATTAGATTCGCTATCGGGAATGAATTTTGAAGATTATTGCGATGCAGTATAGCGCTGCCCCTGTGATACTTGGACCCAGTTTTCAAAGTTTCTAATGCTCTGGGGACAATGTAGGTTTTTCGAAAGTCGTAAAAAAAGAAAGGAAGGAAGGGAGCGAACACTCAGACAGGTGTGATCTTCTTCCGATGGATCGCAAAGCATTAGAAACTTTGAAAACCGGTCCAATATCAGAGTGGCAGCGGCATGCCGCATCGCAATAATCTTCAAAATTTTGTTCCGGTAACGATTTAATCAACCAACTTCACTTTTTTGAATTGCATTTTAAGGCGTACTTGATTCGAGCAAGTTTCGCGTTTTCATGTAAAATTTGAAAATTGTATGTAAGACCATTAAAAAGCGACTTGGGCTTGTTCGTTCCGAGTTTTTTTTCAGCTCCTGTACGTTGTGTTGGAGTTTTGAACTTGGTCCATTCAGACACTGACATTGACCTCTTGAGAGATAAGAACATTACCAGATGTGAATTATAATGCTTTCGTAGAAAACCCATCGGCAACGGGTGGCTGCCAAAAGAGCATTGTCGAAAAAGGCCCACAGCTGGCACGGTTTCTCCAGCTGTCTGCTTCTTTTTCAGAAGCTTGACATTATAGCGCTGTAAAATGGCATATGGGCCCGGGATGTCCAAGGCCAAATCGGTAGAATGACTACTACAATGAATTTTAGACTAGATCTATGCTCTGCATTTATGAAGCAGGAACAAATCATTTCCGCAGATCCGACACTTCGATAGACACGATGAGCTCATCGGACCCTACACCGCAGATTCCGCCGTAAAACTTCCTACAATCGTTCCGAAGAATTCTCGGTTCAAAGCATTCTGGCACTCCGTAAAGCAGCAAGGTCAACCCAGCTGGCTCGAGACCAAGAGAACGACAATTATAATGGGAGATTAATATAAGATAGATGCAGACAGAAGATGAAAACAAGTTTCAGGCAGGATCAGGTTGTACTGAAAGTCAACAATGGCTCGTTGTCAACTACTCACTTACAAAAAAATCTTCCGAGAAGTAATTGAAGAGAAGCGTCGCTATCGTGCTCTTGACTCCATCATTGATCAACTCATACTGACCTGGATTTTATCATTATGCTCGGCCAGTTTTTTCTTCACCATTCGCGCTACTTCCAGCTGCATTTTATGATTCTTCTCAGGACGAATTTGGCCTATGGACAAGATTCGAAGTACGTTGTCCTCGGCGAACCTGAAATAAGGTTCAGCAATTAGACTAGCTGCGCAAAAGACTCGAATTTGTACATACCCTTGGAACTTTCAACTCAGCGGATGAGAAAAAGAATATAACAGAATCAAAAACTATTGGAGCCGGGAATTTATGCCACTCCTTAGGGACGAATCCCACGTCGAAAGAACCATTTGTAATGAGACCTACATCATCAGACATTTGTTCCTTGAACCTCGAATCTGCTTTCAAAAGTTGCAAAGCGATTCTTTGAACAGAGATACGAAGATTTTTCTCCACGTCTGACAAGCAAGAGGTCATGGGATCAGGATCTCTGCTAGGCTTAATTTTTTGCCCTTCTTGCAGGAACATGGCAAAAAGTGGTTGTGACGTCACCCCGAAGTCACAGCTCACACTGACTAGCCTGAAGAGTTTGCGTGCAATTACTAATGCGCCTTGTGACTAGAAGAAGACCCGGGTGTACAGGTGGGGCACGTTACAAGCGTTTTTGCGCTAAGCAAGTGTTCTACTCGAGTTCAAGATTCAAACTGCCCTCGAACACGAGCCTCTGTCGAATCTGACATTCTGATCTGACTTCGGCAAATGGAGCCCATAAGGGATAGCATACTCGCCCGAAAACCACGCGCGAATTCGGGTGGCGCCGAATGGTGGGTCCAGACTGTTGCCCACCAAGCATGGTAACTTTCGGATCGCGTATAGGGGCGTTGAAGAGCAGTCATCATGGCAAAACGTCTTTCAAAATTGATATATGCTATTTGTCTAATGGTAATTGTATAACGCATATGAGGGAATTCACCAGTTTCCCGCGCACATCTACTATTATCACTACTTCGTATTGATTTTCTTTCACAGAAGGAACTCATCCACCACAAAGCGGGTGGGCGGCAGCTTTATTTTTCTCGTAAGAACAATTGTCAGTAAATTTCTTCACTTTTACTCAGCTCAATATCACATAGTAGTCTTCATGGAACACAGTTCTTCTTGAAAGTACCGATATTCGATGTTAGGGTAGTATAAGCACCAAAATAACCTACAAATATTCCGCTGCTAACAAATTTCGTTTGCTCGAATAGCATAGGTACCATATGATAACTGACCTTGCTTCGGCTATTTGCTCGAGTGCGAGAAAGGCCGCTACATCACATGGAGGAAAAACAACCTTCGCATCTTGGCAACGCCATAAACGTCTGATATGGCCACCAGTCCAGCTGAAAACACAGTGCAATACATATAAAACTGGGAAAGAAAACAATCCATAAAGGACTAATGATTGTTTGCGCGGATATGGGCCTTCCTATCACCACACTACGTACTTAATTAGCACACGTCAACTCCCCACTAACCCGCTTCATTCTGCAGTCGTTTACCTCAATAAAAACCAGTGAAGGCCGGCCCATGAGCGGGCTTCCAGGATCGTGGACAGCGTCAGTTAATGGTAAACAAGTCATTGCCCCACAAATCGAAGCACAAGTAAAACTTTCACGAATTTTTCCGATTAGTGAGCGACTCTCACTAAGTTTACCAGGAATAGAACAGCAGACAAAATTGTAAACAGTTGCCACACAAAACATTGTGTTCTCATGGAAATTAGAAGGTTCGTCATTGTTCCATTACTACTACTGCTCTAAAGTTCACAAAGAAATTTTTTAAACTCTCTGTATCTATTCTTGTTTAACTCTAATTTGCTGACTTCTTCCGCCAGAGGTAAAGCCGTAAAAAAAAAATAAAAAAAAACATACCCTTTTCTATATTATATATATAATTATATATATTATGGCGCGGCCATTGTGGTGCATCAACCTGGCTGAACGATGAGAACTTGTAAAAGTGAGTCATTTGACATCTTGACTACGAATATCACGTTATTTTCTAACACTGATACCAGTGTAGGGCTTTTGTAGCTGCCACCGATGCAGGGCACTGCTAAGCCTCACGGGAAGGGAATCACTCCTCCTCCCAGACTCAGCCCAAGCACATCGCCCAACTAACTGGGTCGAAAAATGAACGTTATTTTCGTAACTAGGATATCAATCGACCCTATTACAAAAAACGATGTCACATCCGTGATCAGAATGTCAAATAACCCTCGTTTATAAATTTTTATCCATTTTAGTGGAAAAAGATGGTGACGCCAAGTGGCGTCAGCGCCAAAAAAGAATGTCATATTTGTGAGCAGGACACAAAACAACATATATAATATTAACAGATTGAGAGCAAAAATTTTTCGAGTTTTTGGACTAGTAATGTTGGAAATAGTGGTGACGGTTGCCACAGCTAAAAAGTAGAAAGTAGAAAGAATTCTTCATCTGTATTTCCAACTTTCTTCACTGACGTGCTACCCTATTCTCGTTTTACTCACACACCGCTGCTCCGGGTAAATGAGTATTTACAAACTCAGAAACCTGTATAGGATTGTACGTTCTGATGCAACCGCGTGAAGAAGTACCTTCCGTTCACCATCACAATCTCAGCTGCTTGACCACACAGACCATAGAAGAAAGCAAAAAGGCGGTAGTACAACAGCTTTGCATGACTGAGGAGATTGTTCTGCACAATAATGTCGGCATTGTTGTATGCTCGCTCTCGTCTCGACACCAGATCAATCATGTCTTAAATACACATTTCGTTAATGCAATTTATTACGTTGTTTTGATAGTGGCCTCACATAATTCGTACGACTCGTTACTCTCCTGTGAGCGAACATAAAAGGACTCACCATGAGAAATTGTTGGATAATGGACATATGCAGCGACGCGGCTTCCCGCTATCCACCTTAACTAAATTCATTGAAATTTATCACAAACACTTATCATTCTGATATGAAACTCAATAGACATGAGTTTTTTTTTCACAAGAGAGAGTAGAGGACTGCACTCACTCGTAACCACATCATGAAAAAGATTAAAGAAATATCTGAAAGCGGCCGTCTGAGCATCAAAGGATGCGAAACACTTGGTAACCGCGGGCAGATATTTCAAGAGGTTGGGCTAGGGCTCTGGATGTGGGACAACGCATTAATGGAAACATTAGAGCGCGAGGTCATAGAATGTTACGTAGGAAAAACAGCACAAACGGGAGCAGAAAACTGATGGAGTTCAAAAAACCAAAATTAAATGTTTGGCAGATCCTACCAAGTATCTCTGCAAAATACCATGATCTCTGCGTGTGAATCGTGACCTATAGAGATAAAATTGTGGCACGATAAATCTCAAAGACGTATAGGATTAATTTGCCTAGTGGACAGAATTCGGCGCCCCACCTTCTCTAAGAAAAGTACCCCCTAGCACGCGGCCCGGTTGCTGCCAACCATAACCGACAGAGCCACCCGCAAATTACCCGATTGGAATCTGCTGACTAATGCTTCATTGCCGGAAATACAAATATTGGTGCGAAGGGGATTGGTATGAACGCCGCTGCTGCATAGAGCAATTATGATACGATGCAGACGTATCTACCGGTTGCTGGCACGATGAAAAAGGGAAACTGTCCGGAATTGCTGACTATGTGGAATATTAGGCTCTTTTTCTCGCCAGATTTCGACCGTCTCCCCACTATGTAGGACCCTGGTAACCATTTTAGACCGAAAGAGCGGACTATCGTGGCTGAGCATTCGAGAGCAATTTCATTAAACACGTCCAGAATGACAAGGAGAAAAACCACTGAACCTAAATAAGGGTAGGGTCAGCGCATATCCCATGCTATCAATGAAGACTTCAGGATTAAGCTTGAGTAAAGCTTCGAGACCCAGAACAAATCCAGCCAGCGTTTGCCAGTAAAGTGTGAAACGGAGGATATAAGTCTGTTCCAAATCGACGAGTCTAAAAGAAATGACGTCAGGCGAAAATTGATCCGTTTTCAATAGGAAGTTACGGCCAGAAGAAGAAAATCGTAAGAGGACCCAAATATCCCCTAACAAAAATAAAAAACTTTTTTTCCCCAAATGATTGAACAAGATTACCGTCAAGAAAACAAACATGGGGACATTCTTCGGGTCCACAGTGATTCCAAATCGTTGTTTTGCTTTCAAGAGAATCTGCTCCTTTGTGGCATCATAATCTCCAGAATAGACAACAAATTGAAGATTCGGCCAACTAAAAGCCAACACATTTAGAGTCGTAATTCTAAGATGATCCAGACATTCTATAATATGGTCGTGCTGGGAACAGCGGGAGGGGGGGGGGGTCGAGGGGGGTCGTATTTGCGTCCCTGGTCGAGGGTCGTACCAGCTCGTTTCTTGGGAGGAGAGAGAAGGTCGTATTTGCCTTTGTGAAGCTTGAAGAGTTGGGAAAAAATTCTCCCGGTTGTCGACTTTTTGTTGTTTTTTCCCTTTCTTATGTGCTATATGCTCCCGCTCCACAGCGAAACCTGGGGAAAAACTAAAGAATTTTTCAGAAAATTTCAGAAAAATAAAGAGGTAGAAGGTTGGGAAAATCCAGAAAACTAGGAAAGTGGTAGGCAGGATGGGGATGGGGTCGTATCGAAGGAGGGAATTAGGAGGTAGTATTTTCCGAAATTTCTCCCCAGCGGCAAGGCTGCTTGATTAGAGCGTTACAGCGGACTGGCAAGCAATCGCTAAAGAAATGTTGGTCGATATCTAGCAGCAAAATACGCTCAGAGATGCGCTCAAGGTTCTCATTCGTGAAAACTCGCGAAACGCTCGACTGACAGCGATCGAAACTTCATTAGAATCTAAGAAAGCGGATAGGAAGGACAGGATTTCTAAATTACATTCAACGAGCGGAAATTTACCAAGCTAATTGCTCCCAAAAAAAGCTATGAGCGGGATTCCCTCAACTTACACCCAAATTACTGCAAACTTTCTTCACTCTTTTTCTTGAACCATACTTTGCAACTGGTGAGGGATACTGCATGCGATCGAAAGAGAGAATTGTGGAGCATAGGAAAAAGGTCAGCAGGCAATCACACTCATCTCTGTGTGCAGCACACATACGTACATACGTAGTGGTAACAATTTCAATCGTTATTTATGAGTTCACTTTCACAAACATTGAACAATCATACTGTGTAAGCAGAGAGAACTCATTTGCTGAGCACTGACGAGGGGGCGGGTATAAACGAGTGACGCGCAGAGCGGGACAATTCGCAAAATACCCAATTCCAAATATGGAACAGATGACGTCAACAAAAAAAACCGAGGTCTGTATGTAACGGAGATTCAGCACTATTTCATGTAATCTAATCAAGGACGATGAACGAATTCTTCGAGAGAATTGCAGAGGACCATAAGAAAAATAGACCTTGTCCCTTGGAGCAATCAAGCATGCAATATCTGGAAAAACTGAAAGTTTTGGCATATTCCTTAGCACTCGAACTGCCCATTTTGAACAAATTTGAAGATGGAACGTTTAAAAAAAATCGACATTATGAGAGTAGAAGCAGTCCCTTGCCGCTCAAAATTTTGAATATTTCAACATTCCAATGAAAGGCGAGGGAAGCTTTCGATTTCGACACCAAAAATTTCATAAACAACAAGGACATAATAGAAGTTGTCCACAAGAGTGAAGGTTTATTCTTGAGGAAAACTCGACAGTCGTGACATCATTTTGATTCGTTCTATAGATAGGTTGTCTCACTTCAAAACAGCAGTTTGTAATTGAATGACTCAAGTAGAAAGGACGAAAAAGTGTAGAAGTCCCAGCTAACACGAACATTTGCTCAGCAAATGTCCAACCTGTCACTTTTTGGACATATCCCAGTGTATGAATGTAATTATCGATTGAACTTATGGCTGCGGCTTCGCTTAAATCGTGCCTTAAAGTGTTTTCGAACTAATAGGACATGAAATTGGACTTGAAAGGCACCATATTCGGTCATTGATCCCATTATTTATCAGTTTATTCTCAGCTCTTTCAGAACCTGTGCCCACATCTCCTATTTAGAGGCTCATCGGTCGGATGCGGGTGCCAATCACACGAAGACTGTTTGGGAAAATTCTCCAAAGATCTGGTTGTGGGAATAGTAACGTAAATCTTACAGAATCATTGATCATACTTTAAGCTTTACCGTTACAAACAGAAATAAACTACAAAATAAATGTTCTATTCAGAGCTATCATGTAAGAACCGCATGCATGACTGTGGAGGTCCGGGAATTCAATTCCAGTAAACAAATCGAACTCATAGCGCAGGGATGATGCCCTATCTGAACGAGAAATTCAGAGACTGGTTGCTATGAAAGGCCATGAAGTTGCACTACATTGCTGGACCCTAGAGGCGAACACACCCATTACTGCTGCCTGAGCAGCTCCTGTAATCGATAATTTTCGACCTGCTGCCCGGCTGCAACCGTTAGAAATCAATGTGTTAAATAGTAAGAATGAGAATTGGGCTTGGACCTGTGTAACAACACGGGATACGAAGTCGAGGGAGCACCGACTCTACCCCAGAACCCATAAGGAAACACACTGCGAGAACATCCGTCATCATCCATATGTAATGGGGTACATTAGCAGTTACAAGAGCATCAAAACTTCTGTTATCTACTAGATGACAATATCTTTTTCATAAGCCCTTCTCTCCATCAGCCGCGTCGCTATTAGACTTTTTCGCTCTGTATCTCAAATCTTATTCTGCGATTCACAACGTGGAAACAAAAAACACAACAGCGACGATAAATTGGCTTTGTCAGCCTAGCGAATTTCGTCCACGTTAATTAGTCTTTCCAGAACTCCCGCCAACCCGAATTCATTGTTGGAATCGTGCTCGCTGTGTAAAGGATCCACCATGTACAAGCAGGACTCTTCATTCTCATGGTAAGCTTAGCAGGGAAGTCCGCCAACTCCTCTTCTTTCAAAGTTCCATGGTAAGTTGGCGGCTTCCCTGGTTAGCAAAACCAACAGCCCATTTTTTGGTTTTATTCTAAGAACTGTCCATTGGAGGCTATGAAAGGGGTGGGGAGGGGGTGTAGGCGCCATTCACTACTACATGCAAGGGAATCAGTTTCCGAACCTCTCCTCCTGCCCAATCAAGCATCCCTCTTCCGCATTCAACTGACAACTTACAGCTTAGGACTGAAACACTGACTGGTATATCGCCTGAACCGCACAAGCAGCTGTGGAGGCTACATCGCACCCGGAATGGAGCTAAGTTCTTTTTTCGGAGGTAGAGCACGGTGTCCCAAGCAGATTTGATCACTGCCAGAAGCTGTGGGTTTCCATGGATATATACCACTAGCCCATGCAATATGTAAACTAAGATACTTCCAGAATAACAACAGAGAAAGAATGGAGTGTTATCTGGTAGTTTTAAACGAAAACAAAGGTCAAAAGAAAACAAATAATACGTCCAGAGTGGTAACAATGACCATCTCCAAGTGAGACACACACAATAGAGCATAAAATTTCCTACTAAGTGAAATTATTATGTGGTAGAAAGAAGGGAATTGAAAAAAAAACACATTGAAGCTAAGAAACAGTCATTAGTGAGGACCGACGTTACTGTGAAAAGGAAAACATACTTTTGTTGCATGGTCCGAATAGCGCACCATAGAACTCGTTCTCCACCTCCACCAGCATTGCAATAAGGGTGGAAAAATGCAACAACGTTAGACTTCCTGTAAGTAAGTGGTTACAGGAACGTGGGCTATTCAGGTGAAAAATTCACTCCCCAGAACGCCAGATCGATACCTGCACTTTTCATTGGCACGTACTCGTCCAACATCCATTCACCTATTGCCCCTTCGGTATGAAAGCAGCTCCACTGCTAGGCTGCATTCATACTTTGCGCAGGCGTTTCAAGCGTTTTGAGTCGTTAGAATTGACGTTAAGAGCGTTTTGGACAAAAGGGAAAGTAGCGTCTCGAGCGAAAAGTAGTCTAGGTACCGATCAGCGCTCAAAACTCCGATTCCCACAAAACGCTGATTCTGGAACGCCAGACAAATATTTTCCCTGTCGCTCAAAACCGAGTTGTAAAGAATGAACACAAATTAAAATTTGTTTGATACCCGTTCAACACAACTCTGGTTCAACAGGATACGTTCTCTTACCTGCGGGTTCGTATAATAAGAAGAAACATAAACAGAAAAAATAGTGCCCAGATCATCGCCGCATTCAATACTGTTAGAAATCTGAATGGAAGATAATCGTAATGATCACGAAAGTCATGACTACACTTGAATCAAACAATATTCCTTCGGCATTAGGCAGATTCTGAGCTAACCCTATACTGAAGGGAAATAATTATATCAGCAGAGAGCTAAAAAAGAAAAAAAAAGGTAGGGAAAAGAGAAAGTGAGTATGGTGACTACTGCGAACCCTACGAAGAGTACATTTCTGATATGACGATACTGCACAATAAGAAACACATTTGTCAAAAAGCATTTTTCTTTTTCATGCTCATGGCAGAAGATGAAACACTCTTTCTGAAAAGAAATACTTAAGCGGAAGGAAATAATACAAGGAACAGGTCCATTTGCGACTGGGTTGCTGCTATTGGTGTGCAGACAACAAGAAAAGGTAGTCCTGACCACAAGCCACAGAGGTCGCGCAAAAATATGCTGCGATGGTCCTAACCAATTAGAAGCAAAGGAAAGGAAACATTGGGAAAGGAATACACTCCAGAGCACAGATGATCCGTTTCGCTCGGTATCGCAGACGAATCATCATTGTCTAGCCAACCCCCGAGCTCGTCAGTGCGACAGGTTGACGACATGAGGACATGGACTACATAGGGGAAGGTGTTGAGAAATAGGATAAAACGAGTGAATGTAAAAGTTAAATGGGTTAACATGCAACGTTCATGCTATCAAGATGATGGCG